TAAACCAAATGATCGTGTTATAAGCCTAAGCTCGGGAAGGATTCTTAAATTGAATTTTTTTTTTCGCTTTTTCGCTTAATGGAAATTTTTGAATTTTAGTTGAGGTTGAAAAATTCTGGAAACACCAAACAGCCAGAAGAAAACTACGAGAGTCTTTTTAATAATCCGAAATAATGGCAAGGTCAATTCTAATCAAAATTTTTGCGAACTAAGTAGCGGGAAATTACAAATGATCATATTTTTATTGCTTTTTCTTTGATGCTAACCGATGTCCCCTTCGAAGTGATTACTTTTTTAATTTTGGGTTACGACGGTGTAAATTTACAGAAAAAATTTTTTAAAATCGTTTCAAAATGCTAGGGCAACAGAAAACAGGGAAATTTTTAAAATAGTTTCAAAATGTTTAGAACTACAAAGATGGGAATCGATAAAGTATTTTCAACCAACACATTTTTTCAAAATATTAAGCACACACCGCAACTAACTAAGTTTTGATCAGATATTAACAAAAAAAATGACAATTAATTTGAATCTAAATTAACAGAATTAAAAAACGGTTATTTATGTTAAAAATCACAAAATTATGACAGGTATTTTATTCCAAAAATCGAGCAAGAATAAAACCAAGGGCCTCTTAAATAATGGACAAAATTTTCCAAAACAAAAAATTTTTTTTCAGTTTTGTTTTCAATTTTTTCCTGCACAAAAACTGTGATATAAAAGTTTTGAGATTTTATCACAAAAAGAAATATTAGACTTTTAAAAATAGAGTTTTTCCAATAAAAATTCCGTCTAAAATTTTTCAGTGTTTCGGCTGAAAAACAACCATTGAAAAATTGCTTTAACTTGGCGAGTTCATGAGGTGTTGAATCGCAACAATTGGCCTATTTGGGATGATCAATGCACATGAAGTTAAAAATTTTCAATTGCCGCTCAGGGTTGTAGGGGAGTAAACATAACTCAGTAACCCTTGAAGCTTGAATTGAGTCTAGCTAAGTTATCCAAAAATTTTAACTGATTAACTGACCCATTGTTTATCATTTTGTGTTCGTCATTTTCTGTACAAACATAGAAGCATTTCCGAGAATTCTCAATTTTTACTAGTGAAAAAACTACATTTAACAAAAAACTACTTTGATCAATATCAAAGCTCAATCGGACCAAGCATCCCCCGTTGATTAAGGAAGCTCTTGCAAGAATCTCGCAAACGGAAGTTATCTTGGAATATCTGGCAAGAGTGTTGTTAATTTTCAAGATCCTGCAAGATAACCTACTAAGAACGATTTCACAAAAATTTATAATGAGAGCCAGAAAAACACAGTTGAGAATTAATTTGTCTTCGGTTACAGGTTGTGGATATTTGCATTTCGATTCATGATGGCTAAAAATATATATATAAAATTTTTGTTTTTTAAAAACAAGCTGAAAAGGGAAAATTGCCAGCAATCAAAGGTGTGCACCCACAGAAACGCATTTTCCAGATAGCCGAAAAATTTCTTTTTAAGAACTACAGAAAAGAGGAAATTTGTCATAAATTTTGAAGTATTTATAATCGGACAATTAAGATCTCCTATTTTTCCAATCTTTAAACTGGCAAAAACCTCATAGACTAAACAAAAAAAAAATTTCTGGATATTTGGTTTGGTTTCACCAAAATAGAAAGATATGAAATTTTAACTTCATTCAGTTTTTTCGTCTACTCGTAAGCAATTTTTTTTGCGACTAACCTCTAATAATTTGACTATCAATTAAATGATAAAACAACAGCTCTGTTATTTAATTTTGTTGAGAGGAAGCCGGAACATATAAACCAAAACAATGTAGAAAATTGGGGTTTCTAATTCGAAGTGCACAAAACCTGAAAATTTTTGATTACGTTGCAGAGTTTTTTGCCAAATACATTCTTTGTAGAGCTGTTGGATAGCTCTTCTAGGTCAACCCAATAAAGTCGACAAAAAATTTCGGCTATCTGGGTATTCGGCTCCGTGACATGCCACCTATCAAACCCCAGAACATTTCAAAATATGATAAGGAGTGTAATAATTTTGTTAATTTGATCTCCACAAATTGTCTTTAAAATCAAAGACTTCTCAAAATTTGATCGAAATTGTAAAAAAAAATTTATTTGTGCTCCGGAACTTGTTAGTGGTTCATTTTGGAAACCTGTCTGAAAATTGTCATTTTGATCGTCAAGTAGTACAAAGGAAAACCTTTAGCCTGGATTTAGCGTTGGCCTTAAAAACGCTGCCTACCCTGGCATTTGAAAAAATAATAATAAATCGACGAGTCCTATGATATAAACTCTAAGGAGCTTCAGATTTTATGCGAAGAAAACTGTTTAAAAACTAAAAAAACTGAAAAAATAGTTGAATCTATACTTCGGCTCTACATACATATAAAGCTTGGTGCCAAAACGTGAAGTCTTATTACCATCCTCTCTTTGAAACCAGCGTGATGCGACCGTGAGTGGAATTGGTAGGACAACAAACGCAGTCGAATGATTACGAAGTAAACATTTTTTTAATTTTTGATTATGACGGTGAATATTTACAGAAACATTTTTAAAATGTGTTTTAAATTGCTAAGGAAACAAAAAGAAGGGAATTATTTCGTATTGTGTTAAATTGTTTAATATTAAAAAGGTGGGAATCGATAATATATTTTCAACCAACTCAATTTTTTAATTTTTTAAGCACACACCGCAACTAACTAAATTTTGAACCAGGTATTCAAAAATTAATTTGAACCTTGTTTTACAGAATTAAAGATTAAAACCGAGTGCTTCTCAAATAAAAAACAAAATTTAAAAAAAAATAAGGCAAATTTTTTCAGTTTTGTCATTTTTTCGCTGCTTAAAAACTTTGACATGAACATTTTCTGTTTTTATCACAAAAAGAAAGGATGGATTTTTCAGTATATAATTGGGTGGGGGAGGGGGGTAGGTTCAGGTGGGGGGGGGGGTTCAGTTGGGAGGATGTTCAGGGGGGTTGTTCAGGTGGGAGGGTGTTCAGGGGGGTTGTTCAGGTGGGGGTGTTCAGGTGGGGGGATTGTTCAGGTGGGGGGATTGTTCAGGTGAGGGTTGTTCAGGGAGGGGAGGGGGGACGAGAGTGTTCAGCGAAACAAAAATAAAATGGAAAAAAAATCCATTTTTATGTGATTTCTTTTTTGTTATAAAATCCATTATAATGGATTCAAAACGAATTATAATGCATTTTGTTTTAGCGACAAAATGGATTTAAATCCCTTTTTAGTCCAATTATGTTGTATGAACCTAACAAGGGAATCGATTATATTTACAACATTTTTGACCACGAAAATCCACAGCAATCGATTTGTTTTCACTTTTCTTAAATGCGGGTCGGCTGAGTAATAAAAATTGAAAATTTAGAATAACTTGGCGAGTTCACGAGGTGTTGAAAAACGACAACTTGGCCTATTTTGGGATGGTCAATGCGCGTGAAGTTAAAGTTTTTCTATTGCCGCTCAGGGTTGTAGGGGACAAACACAGTAATCAATATAGCTTGAATTGAGTCTAGCTAAGTGATTCAAGAGTTTTAACTGATTAACTGACCCATTGGTTATCAGTTTGTGTTCGTCATTTTCTGTACAAAATTGAGACAGTTTCGAGAATTTTCAATTTTCAATAGAAAATTAATCTATATTTCACAAATAAATAACTATTTTGATCAATATCAAAGCTTAGTCGGAACGAGCATCCCTTGTTGATCAAGGAAGATCTTGCAAGAATCTTGCAAAAGAAGGTTTTCTTGGAAGATCTTGCAAGAGTGAGGTTATTTTTCAAAATTCTGCAAGCTAACCTACAAAAAAAAGTTCACAAAAATTTATGGTGAGAGCCAGAAAAACACATTGAGATCCAATTTTTCTACGGTCACAAAAAAAATTGAGTTAAATTCGGATATAAAATTAATGTTGACAAGGTTTTTTAAAATGTTCATTCATTTGCTCATTTTTTAGCTTTTGTAACGTAAAAAAGTTCAGGTTGAGGATATTTGCATTTCGATTTATGAACGCTAAAAACATGCATGTTTTTTTTATTTTATAAAAGCAGAAGCTGAAAACGGCAATTTGCGCACCCACGGAGACGCATCAAAAGTGCGCACCCACGGAGACGCTTTCCGAGATAGCCGGAAAACTTTCTTCCTAAGAATTACAGAAAAGAGGCAAATTCGAACAATTAAAACCCCCTATTTTTCCAATCTGTAAACTAGCAAAAGTCCCATAGACTAAACAAAATTTTTTTCTGGATAATTGGTTTGGTTTCATCAACTTAGGTAGCAATAAAATTGCTTCTTCATTCAATTATTTCGTCTAAACGGAAACAATTTTTTTGCTACTAATCTGTAAAAGTTTGGGATCATTTTTTTCGACCATAAAGTAAATGATAAAATGACAGCACTGTTAATTAATTTTGCGGAAGCCGGAACGTATAAACCAAAACAGTGTAGCGAATCGGGGTTTGTAGTTCGAAGTTCACAAAACCTGAAAATTTTTGATTATATCGCAGAAATTTTTGCCAAATACGGTTTTTGTAGAGCTGTTGGATAACTCTTTTAGATCAACGCAATAAGGTCGACAAAAAGTTTCGGCTATCTGGGTATTCGGTTCCGTGACATGCCACCTATCAAACTTCAGAACATTTCAAAAAATGATCCTGAGTGTAATACTTTTGTTAATTTGATCTCCGCAAGTTGTCTTCAAAATCAAAAACTTCTCAAAACTTGATCAAAATTGTAAAATTTTCTTTCTTTCGTGCTCCGGAAATCGTTATCTTCATTGGGGTATTCTAAAAATAATTTGAAAACTATCATTTCGATCGTCAACTAGTACAAATGAAAACCACTAGCAGCGTAAAAATATATTTGCTGTCTCAGAAAGCAGGAAAGATACAACTGAGTAAGCAAAAACAAAAATTTCATCGAAAGAGAATCGAAAAAGAAAAGTTTTCTTGAAAATTTGTTCGAGTAGCATTTGAAACTGTCTCAAAATTAAAGTTATATATTAAAGATTGTACGGAAAACATTTAATAACAGATCAGGTCAACAGAATTTAAAATTAATCATATTTCATATGAAAACATATTTACAGTAACATCAGAAACTCCAAAACATGCTGTTTCGAATTAATTTTTTTTTTAAAACTTCCTACAATTTTTTTTCAACGTTAAATCCGATCAGTTTTCAACTTTAAGTCGTTTCACGAGTAGATGTTTGCATTCACAGCAGGTTGTTGGCTTTTCTGTTTCTCCCAATAGACAACCTCGGTGGGTCGAATTTCTTTGACTCGGATGTCGGGACTGTAGCAGAAGGAATAGAACCAGACGAGAGACAGAGACGCCAGGTACACCCAACCGACGATGATGATGACGAGCGTGAACACCCAAATTCCGGGGTCGCAAAACTCTGGGTTCATGATCTCGGCGTCATGGAACCGACTCAACCCCGTCAGTCGCCGATTATCGTAGTCGTCAAAAGGGTCGTCGTTCAAGTCATCTCGTTCCAACTCGAACTCGGGTCGTCTATACAAAACCGTTGGTTAAAAACATCAACAATTTTTACAAGTCGGGAATAAGACAATAATTTCACATCACACTAGTTAGGGATGGGGAAGAAATGGAATTATCCTCTGGTTTTATTGGAGTAGGCGGAGCATTTTGGCGTGGAAAAAAGAGAAAGGTTCTTTTTTAAGTTGGGCGATGCCATCGAATTTTAAATGAAGCCTTTGCCAGATTCCTAATCGCATCTGCTTTTTTTTCTGGGTTGATAAAACTGGGCAGCTAGAAAAACACAGGCTACTTAAAAAAAATTGCAGCCAAAAAAGTTTCTATCAAGCTGTAACAGTGAACGGTTTGCTTGAGAAAATGGAATAAAGAAAAAAAATTGGGCTAAGGGGGCGAAATCATGACGAGGAAGTACGGAAAAACACATATGCGTCGCAGAACTTGGAAGCTATGATACCAAAGATATTAAGTTTCAAACTAAATTTGCACAAACTTTTAAAAGATACATTTAATGAAAAACCTTTTGCAAAAACGTAGAAAATATTAAGTTTCGAACTTACTAAAATTGCAGAAACTTAAGCGAACTATCATTTACCTTCTTGCGATGATGATGGTACCGGCTACCAGGGCGAGCAGCTGTATGATGCTCAAAAACAACCATGACATCTTGTGGAACTGTCCGAGAGATGTCGCAGAGCGTCCTCTGTCGTCGAAGGGCTTCAGCGGATGCTCCGCATTTCTCCTCACTCTCTCCCAGCCATGGAGCAGCGCGATACATATGATAATGACCAAAGTCACGCCTCCAATGATCATGTTCCATTCGGGGATGTTGTCATTCGTGGGACACCGATACAAGTAAATAGCCCCCATTATGAGTTGAGTTAGACAGATTAAACAAACGATAACGTAGCAAAACACAGCAATGCTGGTTTTCGATATCTTGGCCGCAAACCCTTCGCCTTCTTCGATACCTTGGTACGTGTCATCGCTAACGAGAGTGGCACCACCTGACAAGCTTTCGTTAAGCTGTTCCTCGAAGTCAGGATCTAAGTTAGGAGGACCTCTTTCGAAGGCCTCTGTCTGTTCGAAAAATGGCGGGTGCTGCGGTACATAACGTGATCCATTTGGCTGGTATCCTTGAAGCTCCTCTTCCGAACCATAAGGTAGACCGGGTTCAGGCTCTGAACGTCTGTCCGGCGGGTAGACACCACGTCCGCGCGCCCCACGCATGCGCGGCGGGAAGTCACCACGTCCGCGCGGCGGGTAGTCACCACGTCCGCGCGGCGGGTAGTTACCATGCCCACGCCGCGGGTATCTACCACGTCCACGACCACGTCCGCGCTGCGGGAAATTATCATTTCCAGGCGGATAATTATTCATTGGCTGTTCCATCGGTTGTTGTTGTCTGGGAGGATATTGACCCTGATTCCTCGGATCCTCTCCTTCGTAACCCCTGCTCGCCGGTCCTCTAGGGGGAGGAGGTCGCCTCGGAGGTGCTTCTATGTCATCGTCGTCGTCGTCGTTGAACCGTGCCATGAAATTGCGCTCGGGAATTTGTCTGTCCCGTAGGTCATCACCGAAGTAAGACATGGTGATTAAAATTAATCAATAAAATCTGGAAAAACTTGCCGGATTAATTTAAATTTAATATACTTTTTATGTTAACAGCCGTAATTGGTTTTATATGTCAGTTAAATTTTCCTTTTTAGGAAAAATGAATATGACGAAACACCTATTTTGGGCTATTTTGGAACTTCAGACAAAATAACGGGAAGGCCTGCTCTGACGCACGTGGTTGAAAGAAATGTGAAATGTATAAAATTATGCCTTTTCCCTCTGTTTTATCCCGGTGACTTTAACTGCACTGGGAATTACTATATGTGGGGACACAATTTATAGTCGGTATGTGGAATGAATTTATCTTTTGCTGCAAAACGTTCTTAATGCGTTTTTTCTGTTTCACGAAAATGGTTTTGTGATAAATGCTTCACTTTAATAGCTTTTTTCGTTTAGTTATTTATGCGGTAAAAAATTGTGCGTTTTGGTAATAAAAATGCGTATACTCCCGCGGTACGAAACTGGTGCAAACGTATTTGGTATAAATGCAATAGAAGTGACTCACAATTAGACTGAATATTTTATAAAATACAACGAGTTTAGTTGTTTTGAACGCATATTGCTTGAACACGTCTTTGCGTTTAGCTAAATTTAGTTGCAAGTAAATAGTTAAAGCCGTTTCTATCAAAAGTTTATAATGACCCCGCCCTAAGAATTTGTCAAACAAATTGAAAAAGGAATCCAGCCATAGAAAATATCAGAATAAAGATATTGTTGGGGGAGAATTTTTCTAAGGAGTTCCCATAGTCTTTTCCACCTAAAGATTAAAGAACTCGTTGGTGTAATCTGGCTGTCAAGAGTTTGGACCAAAAGAACATCCCCCTTAAATCAAAAAATATTCCGTCACTTTTTCGAAAGCCGTAACACTTAGGGTCGGTCGAATCATGAGTCGAACAGGGTCTTTTTACTTATTCGCCCCAAATTTCTAAATTTTGCGATTTAGTAAAATTCACTAATGTATAAACTTTATTCTTCAAACTTATAAGAAGGCCGAATTGGGACAAACTAGGAAGGTGGTCATTTTTTTACTAGAGCATTTCAATGAAATTTCTGATCGCCCTCTGAACACAATAAAGACCTTAAAAGGACGACACCTTCAGAATCTTTCAGGAACATTTTAACCAAAAATGGCGTTTTTCGGCGCGCTCTCACCTTCAAAAATTGTATTTATATATTGCCGGGTTGGTCGGTCGAAAATGGTTGGTCGTAAAATAATACCACTGGGGGGACCTTTGATTGGTGAGGGCGTCGAATTCCTTAGGGGGGGGGGGGGCTTGAGCGGCATAAATCTGCCCCTGAATCCAAAAAAATTCATTACATTGGGTTGTAATTCAATTAAAATCCATTATAATTGATTATAACGGATTATGATTTCTATTTTTTTTTGCCAAAAATTTTATCAAATTCTGCTATACTCACGGCTTACTCGGATTTCAAACCTCATTTTGACAATGCCCGTTTAATCCGGGGCAGTACAACAGTGCCGAAAACAGTGCCCGAGAATCAAAATGTTGTTCAACATTGCCAAAAACTGGTTTGAATGCTGTTTTTACTCATCCCAAATCACTGAAAATAAATTAATTCAAATCGACGGAAGTTTAAAAAAAAATGGTCTTTGTAATTGATGCCGCTTGTTAAATTAACAAAATTTCTCTAAGCGCGGCGTCATAAAATTTTTGGAAAAAAAATAATTAACTCAAGGAACGACAAAGAACTAAATTGGATTAGAGAGAGAAAAAAAAGATTTGCAAAAAACGATAAGCTAACAATTTATGAGACAAATTTATGAGACAAACTAAACTGCTCGTATATCAGGGCAAATCCCCAAATGTTCCGGCTGTCCCTTAATTCATATCGAATAGTTTTTGGGAAAAGAAAATATTGAAAACCTATAAAAATTGGACAATATCGAAGTGCGAAACACTGAGTCGTACGAAATATTGCGACCGATTAGATAGCCTCAACTCAATTTGGAACCATTTTGTTGTGCGGGATAATTCGCCACGGATAAATAATTCGCGTTATGCACTCAGCATTAAGAATGAAGTGTTCTAGGCGTGCATAATTAAGTCCAGAACATGGCCAATTTGGCAATTTTCCAACCCCTAGAACTTAAAAAAATAATCGGAGGTAAATTATTTTTTTGAGTTTGACCTCATAAAGTTGATACCTTCAATAAGGTTTTTGTTGAAAATTACTATTTCTATCGACTTTTTAACTAGCCATTTTTGACCGAATTTTTTAATATCATTCAAAAGGTAATAATCTCTTGAGCTTAAATTTGAAAAGATTTTTCACCTGTGATCATTTTTGGTAAAGTTATGGGGGTTTAAAGATTGCCCTTTTGGCCAGTTTGGGACAATTAACGCGCGATATATTTCGCGCTTTTAACGTGTAAGCGGAAATATAATCCGGCTTAGAAATTGTTCCAAATTGGTTGAACGAAGCTTATTTGCCATAATTGATTTGTTACAAGGAGCGAAATCTATCCTTTGTACTTTATATGACGTGTGGGGGGATGATTTTCATACAAAAATTCAAATTTAAGAAAAAAAAATCATTTTATTTTATTACATTTGATTTATTTAGGTTATTACTGCTCCTTAAACCTTAAAAGGTAGTCGGAACATTCAGGAGATTGTTATCTTGTTGTTCCGACTTTCGATACCAAAATAACGGAATATTTGTGCTCGGGGTGGGTTTTTGTTCTTCAGACAAATTTCGACTTTTTAACTAGCCATTTTTGACGGATTTTTTTTATATCATTCAAAAGTTAATGTTCTCCTGAGCTCAAATTTGAAAAAATATTTCACCTGTGATCATTTTTGGTAAGTTATGAGAGTTTAAAGATTGCCATTTTGGCCAATTTGGGACAATTAACGCGCGATATATTTCGCGCTATTAACGCGTAAGCGGAGAGTTAATCCGCCTTAGAAATCGTTCCAAATTGGTTGAAAGAAGCTTATTTGCCATAATTATGTTTCTATTTTTTTGTACTTTATATGGCGTGTGAGGGGATGATTTATCATAGAGAAATTTTCAAATTTTAGAAAAAAAAAATTTTCATTTTATTTTGTTTCATTTAATTTTTTATGTTGTTTGTGTTATTACTGCTCCATAAACGTTAAAAGGCAGTCAGAACTCTCAGGGCTTCGCCCTGATACGAGCAGTCTTGTTCTATTTAGGAGAGAAATTGTTCACATGGACCATAAGAGCTTTAAAAACATAATATCATTGTGTTTAGTACTATGCATTACAAACATCATTTCAGACAGTTCTTTTATACCTCAAAATCGCTAATAAACGCTAATTACAGATACACATTGGTTCTTTTGAGTTAAGGTCACCATCTGTTGTTGTTTGAGCTCCTGTTGATCACGCCCAAGTATCCGGTGCCACCCCACCCACTTTTAGCCCCCGATGAAGATTTCCCGCCTTTACTGCTCGGGTTGCTGTAGGACTTCCGGTTGCCTCTGGAATAGATTGAATTCCGGTTCAAGCGATAACCCCGCATGTCAAACAGTCGGCGGTTGTGGAGTCGCCCCGAGTTGTGACTAAAGAATCCTCCGTCGTAGAACTCTCCATACCTTGAACGCAATTATTCAAATGCAAATTTGCAAGAGTTCTAGTATGCGTTAAGTATGTCTGGAGTAGCAGAAAACAGAGCTATCGCTTCGTGCTCAGAGCGCCTTTTAATACGAGACTCGTTTTTTTTACTGAACTTACTACTCTTCCTCTAAATTTAGAAGATTGGTTTAACAATTTCGTGTTATACCCACCAGCGAACTTCAGATTCCTCAGCCTTTCTGCTCGCTAGTAGTCTATAGTTCAAAATTTATCTGGGAAAACATTAATCGAGAGATACTTAGTAGTCACAGGACATGGAAGTTGCAAGTTTAAGTTTTCTGGCGAAAATATTCATGATAAATTGAGAATCTAAGCTAGACCCTCTGTTGCAATGCAAAACAAGAGTATAGAATAAAACGAGTATAGATGCATATAAAAGAAGCACAGTTGGCCGAGTGGCCTAAGCTAACGCCGATTATATAGGTTAACAGTTGACGTAGGTTCGAGTCCCCCACCTGCCCATGTATTAATATACTAAAAACGGGGGTTACATCCTATTTTAACTGTTTTTTGGTTCTAATTCGGTTCAGCCTTGATTAAGGCTGACCGCCAAAAAGAGCAATTTGTCTCAAGGACATTACCGACCGGTTCTTGTGGCTAGCTTGCGCGAAATTATCTCAAAAACGAGTTGTACCGAAACAAGTTGATTTTGTGATCTTGATTATGCAAACCGTTGACATTGCTTATTTCTTGTTATGTGTGTTTACCGAAAAATACTCATAATTTAATTTGTCTTATACAGTTTTTTCAGATTGAGCGCACATTTTGGCGCCCCACAAGGGACACCGAGGTCTTCTCTTTACGACACGAGCTTCACCGAGGGACACAAGGGACACAGAGTGGGCGTTTGGCCGAAAAGTGTCTAATTGGCCGAAAGTGAGCGGTTGGCCGAAAAGTGTCTAATTGGCCGAAAGTGAGCGGTTGGCCGAAAAGTTTCTAATTGGCCGAAAGTGAGCGGTTGGCCGAAAAGTTTCTAATTGGCCGAAAGTGGGCATTTGGCCGAAAAGTGTCTAATTAGCCGAAAGAGGGCATTTGGACGAAAGCTGTTAAATTGTTCAGCTGGCCGAAAATCTGCAGATTGTGCGGTTTAGCCGAAAGTCGTCAGAGTACCGAATTGGCCGAAACGCTTCACACAGTTAACTTGACGAAAGTGGGCGATTGGCCAAAAGAGCCGACAGACGATACAGCAGACAGGCGAAAGAGCAGACTGGCGGAAGAGAGGCCTGTTTAGGTGTCCTGATTGTTGACTTTTGGGCGAAGTGGAGCTGTATTTTTCTCGACACCCGAAGTTTTGGTTTTTTCCCGGTGTCGCCAATCTCCAATTAAAACTGTAAGACTCGACTAGTTTAAAACTTTCAATTTGTGCTTTAAAAGTGATTTACGATGTCATATATGCTAGAAATTTCCCCGCAAGCTAGCCCCCGGTAATTTTTCTCGATACCAAAAATTTTTGGATATTTGTGAACGGAATATTAATCAGTGAAATCGGAACATAGACAAGAGGTACTGGACTAGTTTTTTGGGTTGGTTTATGACTCGATCCTGCTGACCAAAATTTTCTGAAAAATTTTGTGAAAAAAGTAAGAAAAAAATTACCAAAAAATCCTCAAAACGTCTCCAGAATTCTGCGAAACTGTGCTGTAAGATGACACCAACCTAATGTTAAGTGGTCTGATAGCGAAATATCAGGCAAATTAAGTTGAGTTTTTTCATCCTCAGGTTTCTTCCGCGTGTGTTGTTGGAACTTAACCAATTTGCCTGATCCCCCACCCACCATTGGTGAAACTGAAAGCCAGTGCGCTTCAAATAAATTAAAGCCGTTTCAGCCCGTCCGATTATTGACGTCGTTGCGTGACAGTAAAGATAAGTGGTCAGGTAGGGTGATATTAAGTGAGTTAAGTTGAATTCTTTCATCCTCAGGTTTACTCCGTGTGTGTTGTTGGAGTTCAACCGACCTACTTAATTTTCCAACCCCATTGGTACTTAAGCGTAACGAAGCCGTCGCATAGGTCCCCTATGTGTATGGTATTCATTCTAGGAGCTAGTTCTTTGGATCACGCGCTCCGAAAACTTCCCGTTCCGTCCCAGAGGCGCGTCAAAGATACTTGCTTTACGAAGCCAGGTTTAAGTTTGAACTTTAACGCTAGGGACTCTCAGAAAACAATACAGTACTACCTTCATCATTACTTGTCGCACCGTAACGACCTTGTAATTTGGCACGACGCCATTAATAACTCGATAAGTAGGCACCGCAGCAACAATAACCGCAAGCTGAGTAGTGAGCAACTTGTCAATTTGTTATTAAGGTATAGGACAAACATTTGTGCGATCGTATACTGTAGACGGAACGGAACCGAGGATATAGAGGAAAGTTTAGTTTCAACAGGTATTCTCGTTATCAACGTCGTTAAAGACTTTATCTCTAAGCGTAAGGCTAAGGACCAGGTACTAATTGAGAAGAACAAAGAGCTTCACCAGCCTCCTTCTCTTGAGTTAAAGACTCTCCTCCTTCTAAGGCGTTATAGCGCTAATCTTAATATCCTTAAGACACGTAAGAAGCGAAACCGCTTACCCCTCAAAGCTCGGAAAGCTATAAGAAATAGGCTTCAGGTAGAAGCTTTGAGACGTCAAGTTCCCCCGTCTTGTAAGCTAATGTTGATTTACTAATGCAAATTTAATTACGTACCAAAACAGTATCTCATTTTATTGATTGTTTTCTATAAGTGAGCATCCGTAGAATATTGTCAATTTGTGAAAAACATTGACGAAAAATTCCAAAGTAAGATATGCAAGTTATTCGAAACCCGTCTAAATCTAGAAAATGAGCTGCTTAAAGGTCACTCACTATTACTTGAGTATATTGAGAATAATAGTCGCACTACAAAAATTGATAATGCTGTTTACAAATGTAAATTTGCGTTGGAAAAAACTGTCGACGTCAATGAGCAATCAATTAGGTTAGCCGGAAAAACGAAAAATCCAGAAAAAGTTTTTGCTCAGCAAGACCTTTGGCTTAAGAAAGTAACCGAAATGAACGATAAAGTAATGCACGAAGCTCAGAGTTAAAAGATGAGCCTTGAACCTTCGTCATTTCCAGCAGCCGGCATTACAGGGAGCAAGGGATCTTTACAACAAACTAGGTCTGAGACATCCTCACGCTCGCACAAAACAAGTGATTCAGCAGCACGAATATCTGAAAACAGGTCTAAGGTCTCTAATAAGTCTAAGGATAGTAGAAAGCTTGACTCACATAAGTCTGATAAATCTGCTTCCACTCGTCATACGTCGACTGTTCGCACTATGTCATCAAGTGAGAAACGGCATGAGTTAGCTTTAGTAAAACGACGCCATGAGGAGCTGGAAAGGCAGTATCAAGTATCTTTAAGACTTAAAGAGCAAGAGAACCGTCTTAAGTTCGAACAAAGTCAGCTGGAACTAGAGCAATTGGCTGAAAATCATAAAAAGCAACAAATTGAAATGGAATTGAAAGCGTTTGAACTTGAGGACAGTTCATCTGAGGTTAGCGAGAAGGTAGCGGAAAGTAACTTGACAGGAGTAAGTCAACCTATTTCAAAGGTAGCAACCGATCGAACTAATGATTGGGTAGACTCTGTTAGTTCACAAGCACCTCCCGACGTTGCTAGTGCGCCAGGTTTGCAGGCCTTCACTCATGTACCCATTTCGTCAGGACCGACGACTTCCGCCCTCCTTGCTCATGCAATTCACACCAATAATAGTCATAACCATGAGCACACAGCATTGAGTGACCCTGGAATCCATAGTTATGGACATCGGGCTATGCCTCAATTTGGCAGTGCAAGCCTTTTGCCATTGCAAGCTTCTGTTTCATTCCCAGCCTCTGTTCCATTCCCAGTTAACAATATGCATTCTAGTGCACACGTGTTACCACCACCGTCTGCTGTTCCTTTACAGACCATGAGTTCAAACATAACTAATGGTAGTTTTGCCATCGCGCAACCGGAATCATTACCTGTCCCAATGTTACCGGCCCAACCCGGTTCTGGTTTTGTTTCTTTGTCGCCTGCGTTTGCTGGTGGTGGCTTCTCATCTTCTGGAGTAAACCCAACGCCGGTTTTCTTTTCGGCACCTAATTGCCATGCAGCGCCAGTCCAGACGCAACATAATCTTCCCTTTGTTCCGCATACTGTGTCACCTAGTATCAACGATTACTACACAAGTGATGCAAACTTATGGCGATTGGCTGCTACAACTCCAATCGTCACGCCTGCTCAGTGTTGTAATGCTGGAAACATTTTTTCTAATGTGACAACTGTTGTCCCATCGTGTAACACCGCCGCTCCTTATACTAGTGGTGGGACTGTGTATTTTAATACTCCCCCAGTTCATCCACAACATGTTCCGCATTTCGTCAATCATACTAATACTGGTTATCAGCCAGTCAACGAAGACTACGCACCGTCTTCTGCTTATCCGAACCAAGGTTGTTCACCGAATCGACCTCTCTCCGCTCGTGAATTGGCGGAATTATTGATGCATAGCCGCAAAGATCATCTTCCTGAATGGAAGTTAGCCCAGTTTGACGGCAACCCGTTAAACTGGCACGAATAGTTTGGTCAGTTTAAGTCCACCGTTGATTCCGCTGTTCTCACCGATGATACGAAACTGACATACTTAAAAACGCTCGTCACAGGCACAGCAAAAACCGCAATTGCGGAGTTTAGTTATGGTGGCGTTATGTACAAGGATGCACTGGGCACCTTGCAACGGAAGTTTGGGCAACCACATGCCATTGTTGGTGCGCATCTTGATAAGCTGAATACTTTTCCTCCACTTAAGATGCACAATTCGGAAAATGTCATTAGTTTCTCCTCTGCCATATCTGGCCTCGTAGCAGTTTTCAAATCATTGTCTTTCCACAATGATCTAAAGAGTGTTAACCTGTTAAACCAAGCTGTTAGTAAACTTCCGCCTAACCTCA